CGGCCCGTCAGGCCCAAGTTCAGCCCGCCGCGCCCGCGCACGCCTCGAGGGGAGCGGCGGAAATTGGCGCGAGCGTTTCGGAAGGGGGCAGAGTGAGAGAGAGAGAAGGGGGGGGGGGGGGGGGTAAAAACAACATGACAGAGTGACATTCTTATGAACACCATTTCAGTATTTACTTCGTTACGGAGAATATATTCCGCGGTATACCGCGCGGAAACGTGTGTTTTGTAAGCGACTGAGTTGCTTTGTTGTTAGCAGCTCATACTATTATTGTATTGTGCTTATACCGTCTGAAAAACACCTGTTAAAAGGGGAAAAGGCGAAGATGGAAAGAGTAGTGGGTTAGTGGCGGAAGACGTTGGCGCGACAGCGGACGTCAATACGATTTTATTTCTGACAGTGCATACCACTCGCTGCTCTAGCAGGCCTCGTGGGCCCCGGAATCACAGAATGATGATTTCTGAAGCGGCAGCCAAGGCAGAATAGGCGCCCCCGCCCCTCGCACCACCTGTCCACCTGCCCGCGCACCCCACGCACCCCACGCACCCCACGCACCACCTGCCCACCTACCCGCGCACCCCACGCACACCGCGCACCCCACGCACCCCGCGCACCACCTGCCCACCTGCCCGCGCACCCCACGCACCGGCCGCGCGCGGCCGCTTGCCGCTGCCGCTTGGCTTGCCGTTGCGCTGCGCTGCCGAATCCGCTCACACAGTCTGCTTCCTGCCCGCGGGAGGCTTTGCCTGGACCAGCATCACCTGAGATTGCAACCCCTCCCTCCCTCCCCCTCCCCGCTTCCAGTCACGGTGAATTCAGCTTCCACAAGCCTTAGCCTTCCCCCTCTGCCGCCTGCCGCTTCAGACAGGATTTCGCTCTTCCCTCTTTGCATGCATGAAGCCGAAGCAGAAAGTTCCCTCTCGCATGCACCGCTGGAGGGGCGGCCGGGCTGCTACACTACCAAGAGGACAACTCGAGGAACCGGGACGCGATCCGCCGCCGGCTCAGCGCGCAGCAGATTGCGCACATCCCAGCCCAGCGGGCGACAAAGATACACAAGATGGAAAACTCGACACGATCTAACTTCTCGCGGGCGCACGCTTAAAGACCGTAGACGCTATGCTTGCCAAAATTGGGTCTGCCTTCGGGCTTCCCTAATTTTGTCCAATGAAGTATTTTATTAGCATATAGAAGATCAGGAAGAACAAGCCAGAACATAACAAGCCTGCTTCAACTGTTTTTCGAAAATAGACTGCTTTGCAATTGTTTAGCAGACGATTCCCGAAAAAACAATTAAAGGCTTGTTATGTTCTGGCTTGCTCTTCCTGATCTTCTTTATACCAATAAAATACGTCATTCAAAGCACCCAGACTAATCCGTTAAAACTGCCAGCAGTGCTAAATCTTCGCACCTTTAAACAGGCATTATATAAATGTCGTTAGCACTACTGCAAAAGGTGCGACTTTACAACACGTTTATTCGATTATTTTCTTCTGAAAAGTATGCGTTATGCTACTGTACTGTACGTATGATTATTTTAATTTTGTTTCTTTGTTGAGATTGGGAGCATTCAAAGTTTTCTTGGATCCAGAAATTAAAACCCTTCGTTAGTTAGTTCTAACGAATAGCGGGGTTCTGGCTGGGAGCGGTGGCAAAGTGGTGCAGATGGGTATTTACTGCTCTCTCTCTCTCTCTCTCTCTCTCTCTCTCTCTCTCTCTCTCCCTCTCTCTCTGTTGTCATGCACACAAACACACTGACAGACAATGGCCTACGCCAATAGCAGCCAAATGCCCCGAAAATAGCTTCACCCCCTACCCCTGGCCACGTCTGTCCGCGGCACGGCGGGTGCCCCGTGGCTCGGCCCGCACCGGCCACAGCGCCACCAGCAGCTCCGGCCTCATTACGTGACCGCCCCACCGCCCC